ATGTTGGTAATTGGTATATATTTTGCTACCTTGATGTCCGGTGATCATGTGGGGGTTCTCTTATGTTGACAATTTTTGGACTACTTTTGCCAAACCCCTATGAGACTTTCTAGTATTTTTACATCTATAATTTGTAACAAGTTTTTCATTATGTTATACTCATAATATTGAGCCATTTTGTAATCAAAATTACTATTAACTATCTTTATTTGATTGCTTCTAAATCTCAGTACCGCACAATATTTTACTTTATAGTGACAGCCCTTTAATGTTATTTAAAAATCTGTCAAACCAAAGTGATATCTCTTAGATCAGAATAGTTAACCGTGTTTATCCTCTATGTGATAGCTCTAACGGTTTAAAGCCTGCAGTGATTTCCGAGTCATAGTCCATCTTAATGTCTTCATTCAATTGGTATTGCTTTCAATTCAAACTTGTCTAACCTCAATGTGTTAGCTCTAAGATTTGAATAGTCAACCGTATCTATCCTCTATGTGATAGCTCTAACGGTTTAAAGCCTGCAGTGATTTCTTCGGAGTCGTAGTCCATCTTAATGTCTTCCTTCAAGTGGTATTGCTTTCAATTCAAACCTGTCTAACCTCAATGTGTTAGCTCTAAGATTTGAATAGTCAACCGTGTCTATCTTCTATGTGATAGCTCTAACGGTTTAAAGCCTGCAGTGATTTCTTCCGAGTCGTAGTCCATCTTAATGTCTTTCCACTAATGGTAGCATCTTATATGTGAATGAAGATATGTCTACCTCCTAAGTGATAGCACTAAGGTCTAAACAGTTAACCATGTCTATCCTCATAATTGATAGCTATATTGGTATGTACACAGCAATTTAAATAACTTATGCTAGATATACTTCCCAACAATTTTAAGGCTACAGTAATTGCTACTACCTCTCTGTACCGCATAATATCTACCAGAAAATCCTGTCCAACAAGATGTTGATGGCATTTCAGCCTGAGTATTTTTCTTTCTTATTTTATTATATATACATGAATCCATGTATATATTCTAAGTGATAGAATTCTAACGGTCTGTATATAGCATCTATATAACTCATGTTAGATATTTTTCCCAGCAGTTTTAAGCCAATAGTGATTGCTATTGCAATCCTATCTCCTCCGTAGTACCCTTTCTCAATTTCTCCAATATTGTCCGAAGCGACCTGTATGTCAAAAGCGGGAATAATTTTGCCCAATAACTGATAATGGCGACTGCCCAACTGATTGGGTATTCAGTATATTCAGATGAATTGAACACGAAGGTAAGAAAAACATTAATATATATCACTTAAAATTTCTCAACATATATCTCAACTACACTTATAGGTTAGAAGTACCTATTTACTATTTCATATTATATGAGTGACGAGTTTATGTTATTAAACCTAATGGTGAATTTGTTCAATAATTTATCATACTTGGTAATAAATGCTTCGATACACAGTGAATCTGATTTTATTATTTAATAAGTGTTTTAATTTTATAAATTTTTTATACACGTGCACCTACCTCTAACAATAGGATTTTTGTTTACCTTTGATCGGTTGGTTCCATTTTGAATATTTTCCTTTCCCAAGTACATAATCCAATTATTATCACGCAGATACGTAATAAATTTATTTGTAGTAGGTTTTGGATACAAAACATTTGATTTTACACTAAACATATTTAATTTTACAACAAAAGTTATCAAAACACACCGTGACAGCTGGCACAAAAAAACGTAATGATGAAATTGCATTGACGGACGGGTTGATACAGTGTTGCCATATATACTGCTCCTTAAATTCTTTTTTAGCGAGCTTGGATAAATTGTGATGTTGGCATGAAATACTGCGTACTACAATTGTTAAGAATGTCTAAGACAAGGAGAGAGTATAATTCAACTCTTACTTTCTATTTAAAAGTTTTACCTTTCTAAATATATAAATATATTACTTCTATGATATGAATAGTTTCATTACCAACAGTTATATACAATATGAGTAGATAAAACGCATATTTTATGATTAAAAGGCAATATAGTGACCTTAGACATTCATAATAAACAAGTTGCAAGCAACAGAAGGTCAAGGACCGCGGAAAATTGCTACGATTCATTCTGTATTATGGCGTGTTAACAAAATCATTCGATAGTTCCTCGTTTCATTGAACAATTATTATCAACAGAGTGCTCTTGGGTTTGTAATAACTTAAGCTTTTTCATTTTTTTATGTGTATGTAAACAACTTTTTACTTTTGCCGCATGTTAAAAACAATATGTATCAGTAATAATTTATTGTTCGTATTTATTACTAATAAACAATATCACCACTAATAGAGTAGGGTCCTTTATTTTCATGTTAATTATATTAACTTTGTTCATATGCTCTTATGTTTAATTTTAGTGTATGAAGAATTTCAAGCGATTTACAGGTTTGAATTTCAAAATGTTGAAAACTTTTCTTACTACTATACATTATTGATACGTACGAGGCGAGTAAATTAATCTTAAAGTAATATCTAGTCCGCTTCGTGATTTATTACTTTTAAAAATACTTAAAAACTCTCGCTGCTACAACAAATTACTATGCGAAATGTAGTTTTCTGCGGCCTCACCATATTCCGAAAATTTAAGTGCTTTTATTGCATTACTAAGTGTAGGTTAAAAATGGAAATAGAGGACATAGCTCTAGATATTTCCTTGCGTAAAAGAAATTCTAAATCACATTTTTGATGCAGCTGTTAGTTTGCAAAAACTGTATTAAATAAGACTGCAGTATAAAATTTTGTAATATTTATTAAAATACGTATCACAAATTGAATTACGAGTAAGAGGCATACAAATTTATAACACAATTCAAATCGACTATGATTTCTTCGACTGAGACTTAAATGCCACCACAAATTTCATGCAACAAACAAATAGTATTCGCAAATATGTAACAACCTATGGCACGGCAATAGTGCCATTAAATTTTTCAAACAATATTTGTATAGATCTTTTATGATATATTTAACATTAGATTTCGTAGATAGTTATCTATAGATATTATAGATGATTATCTAATCTATACAAATTATAAGTCTAGAGATTTGATTAAATTTTTGCTCATTGATCAACTGGGTTTTGTGGACTGAAACTCATAATTAAGTAAAGAGTTTAGTGAACTTTTTACCGTGTTAACCATGTTATAGCTGACACATACAAAGATACAAATAAACATGAAATATCGAAAGTACTTAAATAAATGAATATGTTTATAATAATCGTTTCAAATAATCCAATAAACATAGGTTTGTGGTATTATATGGTTAGTATATTGTAATATTTATATACTTTAAGTCTGTTTTCGGAGATGTTAAGTGGTGAACAGGGCATACATAATTTAACGAATCATCAATTTACGAGTGTAGCTGTTATATCTGAGCATAGGTACGTACATCCCACTCATGAAAAATCACAAAATAGGCCCTCTATAGTAAGTAGATAAAGTTTATATAAAAATTACATGGTAATATTTTAAACTTTTGCAAATATTTATTGCAAAAGACGATATTCAAAAAAGAGAAATATATTTAGTAAAATATTTTTGACTCTAAAACATAACACCAAAGGCTGGCTAGACCTTATAAATTTATGGGATAAGGTCACATTGCATTTCCCAATCTTTCGATTTTTAATGAATGACTTTTGATTGAATACATTTTAAAACATTTTGAAAATCAAATATTTCAGTCAAATGCCTATTTTATCGATTACTAAAAATACAATTATATAACCTACCTAAAACAACTGACGTTGGCCTGAATGAAAACCAATCTTCTTTTCTTTCATGAAAAAATATGAAAAGTGATATGGCTTAGAAAGAAATATTAATATTAGTTTGTCACCCTATTTTGTATTACGGAGCCGTGATAGCTCAGTGGCTGGGCACTTTGACTAAATTTCAACAGGTACCCGAGTTTGATCCCCGCCGATACGACATTCGGGTATTTGATATTCTCTAGATAAGTGAAACACTATTTAAGAGTTATCAAAACAAACATTTCTATAGAAATTTTATGAGAATGTAGTGTTATGAAGACGTAGTTTTATAATCAAATACTCATTCAATTTGTATATTTTAAAATGGAAAAACAATCAAGTTTTAAGACATTTCATTTATTTGCAGTTATTTATTGGTAGTGGTGTTAAGTATCTAATTGTAAATCGAAATTTTTAGTGTGGATTTATCACGTGTTTGGCGGTGAAGGATTAAAGTATGTCTGAATAACTAAACATTTTGAAGATGTAAAGTCCGTCACAATTCATTGGAGGACCGCCAATCACACATCCCTCTCTTAAAAACTCAGAAATGAGAGGAATTCATTTACTTTAATATAGTATTTATATAATATATTAAAGTAATATATTATAGTATAATGACTCATATTAGTCTTCTAAATAAAATTTGTCTATTATATAGAAGATTAATATAAAGCTATTCAATTATTCATTTTAACTGTACTTCTTAACCTTCACATATAATCCAACCAACACTTAATTTAACATATCTAAAGTCACCTTCTTAACTATAGTAAAAATTAATTGCATTATTGACGTGTATATAATAAGTCATACATTAGTTAGTACCCGATAAGCTGAACTTACGATGTAACCACGTATACCCTGGACCTCATAGAAAAGTTTTATTTGGTACCAGTAAAAAAATATCTGTATTTGTTATTTGATGTTGGCCGTGGTGCGCAGTTGATTGACTTGCTTCGTGAAACACGATAATCATTTTCCCTTTCCTTGAAAAACTTCAATAAATTAAATCTAATTAAAACTAAGTACTTCTTCACTATTTGAGCTTCTTCCTCCAACGCCTTGTTGATGGCCTAAAATTTAACTTATTGTACACACAACACAGCGTCGCACCGCGTCGGCTTAATTCATCACAGCTATAATGTTCTTCCACGTTTTTTACAGTTTCGATACACGGATTCGGCGCATCAGGTTGTTCATTGTGATGCGACGGCCCCGGCCATCCTTTGCCGGACATCATTTAGCGCGGATCCATTGCTGAATCCATTTAGCAAGGGTAGCTTCCTTTCCTTTGACTCCATGCATGATTCCGCCTCTACCTTCACTTTAGCCTTCGCATTCTGCGGAAAGAATAGATGTTATTATCTCGTTTACCTTCAGCGCGGATTATACATAAATGCTTTAGTTTTCTTCACAAACGAAGCTCTACATAAAAAAAAAATATTCAAAACAATGGTACAATGACTCAACAAACATATTTATTTTCCGTATATGTTTAGATCATGTTTCTGCGTCCATTCATTTTATATTAATAACTATAGTGTTTCTAATCAATATTAGGTGTAATATAGATGTAAATATTTGTATCTTAAGGAATTACAAGTTTTTCTATTTATGCATACCTTTGCTTTCTTCCGATAAGCCTGTTTGTAGAAGTCAGAGAAGAGATAATAGAAGAGAACGGCGTGCATTCCGATCCACCAAACGAAGGCGCGCGGGTAGTCACAGTCGATGAACAACAGTTGAAAGGCGTGAATGAACACCAGCACGAACTGAATCTGTAAAAATATACATTTGTCAGAAAATGACAAGTTTCGAAGAGAGTTATCATATTTCCAACGCTTCGAATCGATGGAAACGAATTGTTATTTTTTTTTCACATCAACTTATGTTACTTTAATAAAGCCTACTAATACATTAAGTGGATATTACTAAAGTAACAATTGTTGAAGAATAAGTGAAGTAAATACAAAAAGCACAAATTTTAATTTTAGGTACCAGAAAGGAGCCTTTGGACCTTAAAACAAAAGAGAAATAAGTTTAAAGTAAGCCTCTATGCAATACATGTTCTTCGTTTATTTATTTGAGAGCAGTTACTATTTATGGATCGATCCTTTTTCTCTTTATTAAAAATATCATTTTTAAAAGGTTTCGCTGTTTAGAGTTTGGTATGGAGGCATATGAATCAGGAAATACAAGTTTTTATGTATTGATACTTGTTTTAAATAAAACTTTGTGGTGGATAATAAATATAATAAGGTTAACATGATAAATCTTACCATTTGCAGAGCAGTTAGGTATTTTTTCCACCAAAGGTATTTCTGAACTTGAGGGCCCAGAGCGGCGAGCAAGTAATACGAGTACATAATGATGTGTACGAACGTGTTCAGCATTCCAAAGAATGTGGAGTGACCGCCTGTATACAAACAAGATTAGACATGGTGAATACTTTTAATTGCAACGAAGTATTGCCATGAAAAGCTATAAGTTTAAATTAATCAATTAATTAGTCTAATTTCCTAGTTCTGTTATGTTAAGTTTGGTACTCGAACGAGTCTCTGATTATTTACTTGGCGCTAATTGAAACAAGAAAAAAATCTGAAAAACGGTTGACCCTGCAGGCCATCCCTGGAACTTGCTTCTTGTAATGTATTTAATTTTTAACCTCGAAACGATTATTTGAGATATTTGAAGGGCTATTATTTTTGAACGCGTCGTTCGATTTTGACTTTCTTGACGGTATTTGACGTAGTTTTTTAAGTACAAAAATTGTTTGTAAGGTCTTGAGTGAATAGATCGAAGAATTGAAATATTATCGCAAAAAAAACGATTATTTAAAAAAAATTAAATGTCAATATATTCCGCACGAGGTCTTCGATTTTAACTTGCTTGACGGCTTCGACGCAGTTTTTTTAGGTACAAAAAAGTGTTACTGATGTCTAGAGCTGATTATTCAATTATTGTGTTATTTAAAACAAAACTTATTTTTTGGTTTATATTTTTTGAAAATCATTGAAATGGCTGGATCGATTGACTTGAAAATGTAATCAGCTCGAAGTCTCAATGAATTCCGTATCGCTCATCTCGATCGGTTGATTCGTTCAAAAGATATCGTAAGACAAAATTATATTTACATACATACATACACACACATACACACACACACACACACACACACACACACACACACACACTCACACACACACACACACACACACACTCACTCACACACACACACGCAGAGAGAGAGAGAGAGAGACACACACACAGACACACAGACACACACAGACACACACAGACACACACAGACACACACAAACATACACAGACACACACAGATACACACAGACACACACAGACACATATAGACACACACACACACACACACACACACACACACACACACACACGCACACACACACACGCACGCACACACACTCACGTCCACACACACACACACACACACACACACACACACACACACACACACACACACACACACACACACACACACACACACCACACACACACACACACACACACACACACACACACACACACACACACACACACACACACGTACACACACGTACACACACACACACGGAAATAGAACAGGTTCGTAGGAGCTTAAAACGTAGAGATGTGATGAAAACTCAAAATCGGATGTAAATCTATAACTTCCTACTTTTTATTATTAATTTTCAAAGCGGGTAGTTAAAATAAATATCTTTTTATTTACTTTTTATCAAATTTTGGTAGGTACTGGTAATTCAATATAACAAAAAAATAAATCGTTTTGAAAAAATCAAAATACACAATCCAAACACAAAGTAACAAAAAGCAAATTAAAAACTTATTTGATGTGAACTGGTACTATTTCAGTGATTTAACTCATAGCTTTATGCAGACGTTCTAAGAACTTTATCTTATACTGTACCATTTTAGTTCGCCAACCATTTTAGTTTGACTATTCTATAATGTTCCGTTTATGCCGCGTTAGCAATACAAAACCATACATGAATGTGTATAGCGAAATTTTCGGTTTCTTCAAAATTGCCCAACTGGGCAATAATAATAAATAAAAATTCTTTAAATCATTATGAAGTTTATCAATACGTCGATGTAAAAGTGATAATAACCAATTTAAATTACTAATCGACATTAAATAGGTCGCGATTTTAATATTACCTTAATTAGCTCGCCTGACTTGTTTTTTTTTTGTAGTAAAGGAATTTTCCATCAAGCTTACGTTGATTCATTTAAACTAGTTTATATTATATATTAAATCAAATAAAAATAAGATCATACTTATTAGATTCAATGAGGACATCAAGCATAAAATATTTTTAATTTGGATAAAGTTAAAACAAAATAACTGCACGGTTCTTTGTGATGTCATCTGGAGAGCTCTTGTCTCTATAAATAGTCCCTCGGTCTTAGAGCCTTGTAGAATATTACTAGACAACTGCAAGAGACCCGACTGCATGACATTGGTCCCTTAGATATGTATAGCCTTAGTGTGGAATGCTACTTGCCTAGACACTTTGGCGGCCTCTCATCTCAGGAGTACCTCGTTTAGAGGCGGGACGGCATCAGAGGCAGCTGGACCAAGTAAGTGGCGCAAATATGAGTCTCTGAGAGATGACTACATTATTTGTACCATTTGCTGTCGAGAGTATCGGTCCGTGGGGTTCAGATGCGGCGAAGTTCCTAAAGGAACTCTATCCGCGATTGGTCGTCGCTGCTGGTGATAAGAGGGCTGGTTCTTTCCTCGCTCAAAGTCTAAGTATAGCTATTCAGCGAGGAAACGCAGACGTGCGACCCAGCGTTCTTGGCACGATACCATAGGGAGTAGGACGGTATGATAATTTGTTTATAAGTTTTAGTTTTTTTTTAATCATAGCTATTTTTAAATATTGTTTATACTTCAATGTTATGTCAATAAAACCAAATCAAAATTAAAAAAAGATAATATTGAAAGCACAGAAATATGTAGGTTGCGTATGAACGTAGTAGGTGGTAGGACTTCTGTGCTAGGAGTCAGCCTGGGTATGTACCAACTTCTTACTAACTCTGTCTCCAAATAGCAGTGCCTCCACTGCCATGTTCCGGTCTGAAGGGTCATTGAGAACAGTATAATGACAGGCTTTATGATATCCCATCTAACTCCTCAGAGATGACAACGCGTCTTTGTTGGTAGCCATGGCTCAATGACTTTTCGTTTTATATCATGGTATTTTTTAGAGAACAAGAGTTAGAAGCGAGCACACAGTCCACCTGATGGTAAGTGGTTGCTGTAGCCCATAGACATCTACATCTATCCTCGATTAAGGATTAAAATACAGATGCGGTGTCATTCCTGAGGAGGATTTTTTATTTGATTATGCAATTATATTAGTAGTATAGTCGTAGCACGAATGAGTCGGCTCGACCGGGGAAAGACTACGCTCTCACAGAATACCAGCGTGTAATAGTAGCTTAATGCTGCTGTGTTTCGTATGGTGTAGAGAACCGTCACCCTAACTTATAAAAAAGACTATCTAAAATGGAATACGTTACCAGTGAAAAGGGTATCCTGTTCTCTACACTTGCCATACAAAACACCGCTGGTATTCTGTGAAAGCGTGGTCCTTCCTCGATCGAGCCGACCCATTCGTGCTATAACTATACTGCTAATATAATTGCATAATCAAATAAAAAAAATCCTCATACATAATATAGCAGCAGCAGTATGGATCTACCACAAAAATTATTACATACATTTATTTATTAGTTTATTGGCTCATTAAAAATTATAAGGTCATAATAAAATGGACAGCCGTACGCTGACCTTATGGTTGTAGAAAATTAATAGCTTCCCGTTATACCGTTACCGTTATATTATTTAATTCAGTTGTATCCAATGCAAATAAATTAATATATATAATGAAACAAACGGTATAAGCTTCTGTTATGTTAAATAGAATACGAAAAATAGAAAACGAAAAAAATTATAAAGTTCTATAACGCGGAAATCTTCTCATTATTGTGGAAATAAAGTTTAACCACACATTTTCGCATCTAATGAAGGTTTTTCCTTTACATCTTGTCATTTTACAATGTCTCTAGACAGCCCTTTTGCAAAGTATTCAAACCTACCACCCAAACATCTGTTTGAAGTTCGCCGACACCCTTTTTTAAGCCGATGTGACATTCGAACATACCGTCCACCAGATGGTAAGAGGCTGCTGCAGCCTGTAGACACCTGCAGCCAACTTCAAACAAATAAAATACTAGCTCTGAACGAAACACAGCAGTGGAAAGGCATGTCTGTGTTGTTTATTACAGTAATATAGAGACGGTAAAACAATTGCATGTACCATTACATTTAGATTTAGATTACATTAGAAAAAGATTACATAGAGTTACATTAGAGTTAGATTACATTAGAATTGCATTAGAAAAAGGTTTTCTAGTTCTTATTTCTATTCTATCATTTCCATGAAATGAATTAAACAGATCGATGCCACCTCAATAGCGTTAGAAGTATTTGACTATAATTGGACACTCAACGTAAATACTTTTGTGATTACTTGCGAAATCTTTTAATTGTTGTTGCTGATGTTTTTTTTGCCATCATAAGTAATCTAAAAGAATTACAATGCATGATGTGACTAGTGCATATATAAATAATCGTTTTTCTAGCAGAATAGGTAGAATAATTTAGTTTTATTACTGAATCAAGTTAAAATGATTTCCCACGATCCTGGTATTTTTTCAAGACATAAAACACTAACTTAAATTAACTGATTTTGTTAATTGTGAAAAAATTACTTAATTGTAATGATTTGACGTGATACATAAATAATCGTTTTTCTAGCAGAATAGATACATTTTTTTTCTTACGGAATCAAATTAAAAGAATTTCCCAAGATCTTAGAATTTTTTCAAGTTAAAAACACTAAATTTAATTAACTGATTTGTAATTTTCACACAATTAACAAAACCTCGTGACTTTTGATCGTCAGCAAAAATGTGCTATTATTTTTGTTAATCTATAGTAGGTACTCTCGGTTCGCTGGATGACAGTATTTGTCATACAGCCACAGAATAAATAATGGTACTACGTACAGAAGTTGCACTCCTTTGATGTCAACTGCTTGCCGACGTTTAATAGCCTACGTAATTATTATTAATCAGATACATCGCGCATGCAAGCTAAATAAAAGTTTATCGCTGCGCGATAGTGTCCATATTACTTTGCATCTTTTCCGCTTCCTTAGTCACGGCGACTTTCCGTGGTTAGTAAGGGATGTCAATAGAAAGTAAAAAAATACATTGCGAAATGTTAATTATGTTACTTAGGTGAAGTGCCTATTCTGACTATGCTCGATTGACCATACTTTCGCCCCTATGTGAGTTCTGCGATGCCTAACGCATGCAAATTGCAAGGTCTTTCGTCGGGAATCGCAACGCTTGGTTCGGAAGAAATAGGTAGGTAGATAGTGTAAACAACAAATAAACCTGAAATACGATTCCTAACAGAAATGTGATCTATTCTACTTACTTAAAAATCTTCTTAGTTATAACTTAAAATATTTTAATTACAAAAGACAAGTACAGGTATGTAAGTAAATATTTGGATAGTGAAGTAAATTTTAACTAATTTTTGTAATAAAGTACTTAGGTATTTCTTCTGTAGACCAAAATATTACTTAATTCTTTTTGCTGTAAGTACCTATCTAATAAAAAAATTCACCTTTCATAGTTTCCTTCTAAAATTCTTCGGTAACTTAAAAAGTGATATGGAACCTTTTGTTGGTCATTTCATTTAGTACCCATCCACGTAACAGTTATAGTAGGAACGATGTTTTGCTATTATAATTTATCAAATAGGTAATATACATAATATTATATAATTTTTAAAACACATTAAAACTTTTACAACTATTTTACCTACAATTAAATATACTAAACACTAAACAAAAACTATTTCAACAAGTATTTACATAAAACTATTTACTTAAACAGCGTTAAAAAACTTTAACATTGAATCGCCTACTTCGCGCTAGCCCCGACTGCGTATAACGCCCAGGGCGCCTCGCGATTTTAGGTAATTTTTTCACGCAGGTAGCAAGAGTGACAGAGGCCTGATACAACGCTGAATAAAACTACGAACAGCTAGGTATGATATATTTGTGAAACCATACGCGTTGTAGGGTTAAACTAAATAAAAATATAGTTTAAAAAATATTCTTACTGTAATATCATTTACAACTCTAAGTAACTTATAGTAAAACTTTTTTAATTTACTGCTTACGATTCAATTATACTGCTTTTGTTTGTTTAAGTGACATACGTAAGTTGGTGAATGGTTTTGTAAGTCAGTAAATACTAAAAGAACGTAACTGAAAAACTCGTACCACTGTCATGATGTACAAAACTTGTGCCTTATCAACAAACAACATCGTCTAGTTGTAACATTTCTACTCTAACGTTATATAAATATAATTTTATGGATAGCTGAATATTTCAATATTCAGCGTTAAAACTCCATCAAATTTCGACGATCAGAGGTTATTACGCGCTCACGAGAGCGATTAATGTTGCTTGAAATAAAAGTAAGGAAGCAAACTAGAAATCCAATATGGTGGCCATAGCCTACCATGGAAATTAAAGTACGTCACAAAGAAACGGCCATCAAATTGTATTTATTAATGGCAACGTCTTGTCTAAGAAGCAGTTAATTGTTCTGTTTAAATGAGTAATAGGCATTTTCAAGACGTGCCACTATTTTTTGTCCATTTGATAAAACGTTTTGTTTTTACAATAAAAGTTAGAATTCATACAGTTTTCTTCATTCAACAGCGTAATACATGTATGTTTAAAAAAAACTTTAACCCACGCTGAGTAACATTTGATAAATAAAGTTGCCGCATGGTGGCGGTGTGAGAAACCCCATCAGCCCGTTAACTTGTTTCGTTCTGTGGGTGACGTAAGAGTTAACTACGGAGAAATAAAAAAGAAACTCGAGAAAATCTACTTCTTAAATAGCAATATTAATAAATCTGTAATAATTATTAAACCAAAGTTCAACGTCTACTGTTGAACGTAGGTCCCGCCCATAGATCCCCACGGAGAGGGTATTTGCCACACTTGACAGACGGGTTGCCAATCGCAGTTTTTTTTTAATTTTCTAGTTGTTTCTGCTGTCTTTCTACCATTTATGTTAAACATATAATAATCAGACGCATTGCGGCAATGGAGTGTAGCGTTAAAAGTGCAAGATAATGGTAGTACGCCTGCCGGGCAAAACCGCCCTATATCGGAAGCTCATGACGAGCAGTCGAATTTTACGCGTTCAAAAATATTTTCGTACGCGTATTATTTGACTCTGAATCTTCACAAATTAGTTTTTGGTACTTAATTTGTGATTTGAAAACTGACAGCTGTAAATGCATTATTCTGAGCTGATTTACACATTTGTTTAGCTAAACGGACATTACATTGGTTATATTAATTCATAGAGCACACAAGCACAGAAATACATTAGGACAGTATCGCTCGGTGACACTGACAGCGACAACTCGGGTATAAACTCGTATGTAGTATGAGGGCGAGCGGAACGTGTTGGTTAAAAAATCTAAAACAACACTTTTATTATTGTAATTTTTAAGTTTAAAAAGAATAAATAGCAACAGTGAGATTAAAATTTACTTATATTTGAAAGGTAACGCAATCTTTTTTTAAATTTGATATGGTAGATTCTTTTTGCATCAAAAAATCTGATCAATTCCGTATTTTTGTAGACGTAGGTTCCGCCGTGCAAGTAGATGTAGTCAAACTAGTGTAGTGAAGCTTGGGTAAAAAAATACGATATATAGAAATATCGATATTTTCTTACCAAATCATCAATATTTATCGTCAATATTTTTAATCGCTATCAATATTTATTTTAGATATCAATTTCGATTTTTAAAAATGTTATTTTAACTCATAATTTACTAGAAAAAACAAAAGCATTCATTTGATGTTGTTGTTTTTTTTCTCGTCGTGAAAATGTTATGTAATAAAATTTTGGCCCTCAGTCTACTACATAGTAACATCATGCAAACATGAAGATATATCAATATTTATCACGCGATAATTATTGATATTGTTTAAAAATATCGATACAATAAAAATCGATATATTTCTTTCACCTGCCCACCCCTGGTGAGCAGTGCGGCTGCAACTAGTTTTATTGTAGTCATAGCACCACGTGGACTAATTCTTTGACAGAGGGGAACGCCATCATATGGTTACTCCTATCCGAACCGCGGGTGTTCCGTGCTCTATGAATTAAGCATAATCATTTTTGTACGAAAGCTAATTTTTTAAAAATAAGACAAAACCGTTTGATTTCAGCACATTTAGAGTTCAAAGAACTCTTTTATGTTCACTGATGCGGACGGACACAAGACTCGTTTTCATTATAAGTTGTATATGAATATAGTAGTATAATATTCAGTACATAAAAATAAACGTAACAACATTTTGTATTTGTGTACAATGTGTTTAAATCTGTTAATTGAAAGAGTTATGAACACTGACGTAAAAATGATTTTTTTTATAGAATAAGGATCATAATTTAATATATGATGAGCACACAGTATACCTGACGGTGCAGTCCATAGTCATATACGTTTATTCTCGATTAAAATCGACAAGCAGATGCATTGTCAGTTGTTACCCCTGAAGACTAAGATAGAATGCCTCGTTTCCAGTAAAAAGAGTCTCCGGTTCTCTGCAGTTACCATATTAAACAAAGCAACATTGAGCTGCTATTTTTAGAGTGGTGCTGCCCCAGTCGAGCCAACCAATTCGTGCTACATTTTTAGAAAGGAGATGAAATGTATGGACCAAGTCTATTGCGCATGATCACGAGGAAGTTTTTGGTAAAAAACGAGAAAGTTTGTGTATTTTTAGACTTGTGGACAGGTTTGTACGGTACACGCTGGTTTTGTTTTGATTGAGCGCTGGGTGGATTTTGGTATTAAAGGCTCTTTATTGGGACTCAAGCGCTTGTGTTAGAATTATAGGGGCCTACACGGACTGGTTTAGCATCCATAAGCGTGTTAGACGGGGTTGTGTAGCTTCGTATATAAATGATTGATTATTTAAAAAAAAAAGTATCAAAAGCATTTTTTATTTTTTGAATTCTGTGGTAATAAAGATGGATTCAAATGAAATATTTCCACTTTGTACACAAAGTGATGTAAGGTATGGCAAAATGATATAATGAATTACCGCAGTGTCAGTTTCATTATTACTGTAACTTTTTATTTTATTTTTTTTAAGAAAATAAAGAATAATAAATCAGTAATTATTAATAATTTATATTTGTAATAATTATAAAAACATCATTTATAATTTATTTTTTAATAAATAATAATAATAAATAGTAATAATTTCGTTATTTTCCTTTTTTTTCTTTGAATGATATTATATATAGATAGGTCATTTCAAACTAGCGCACAATAGCCTGCTTTTATTGAGACAACTTAGCGATCGCAGCGCCTCACTTATTTTGTCCATATATCTGGGAAACTATTTTCTACAGCGATCGTTCTCCTTTTCTCTAACCTCTATGATAACGACTATAGTGAAATAAGTTGGCATATAAACGTATTATATTATACCGTGGACTGCGAAGCGCACAAACGTGTCAATCCTATCGCAACTCAAGATCAAGACGCGTCTTTCCACCACATGTCTTCAGCGCATCCTCAGCTATTTTGGTCATATCTCTCGCCGCGGGGACGAAAGTATCGAAAAATTGATAGTTGTTGGAAACGTAGAGGGAAGAAGGCCCAGAGGTAGATTTCCAACCCGGTGGTCCGACCAAGTCAAAGAAGTCGGTGCGCGAAATTTCTACGACGCTCTCCGTATGGCCAGCGATAGGACCCGGTGGAGAGAGATTATAAACAATAAATTTACTCTCCGTGATGGTGATCACGATCCTCAGTCATGAGGGACCGACTAGAGAGAGATAAACGTATTATTAATAATTATCAAAGCAGCAACATGTTAAACCGGTTAATATTGACAAATTCGCTATGGAGAAATTCGCCATGGCTTATTATTTATTTGAAAACTTTCAAGATAGAAAATGTTAGTGTTTTGATTTAAAAGGATACGCATGATGGTTCTTATTTCGAAACTTTTACTAACACCATTTCTAATATATAGTTTTTTTAATAATTGGGCATTTTGCCCATCCAACTCACCAGGTGTGAACTTGACGCCGAACCAAACGGACATGGGCATGATTCCATGATGAATGACGTGAAGTTTTGACACGTGATCAAATTTCTTTCGCATAACGAAGAATATCTGAAATAGAAATTGTTTTCGTTATATTTAAACTTTAGGTTATAATATAATAGATATATTAACATGCATTGTTATTATCATCATTACAGTCGCTCACAACGTCACTGACATGGCATCGTGGAAAACCACAAAACTCTTTTTGAACCACCTGCGTCATCGCCTACCTGCATGTCCTATCAGATCGTCACTGCATCTAGTGATGTGACCGCCTTGCACTTCTTGATTTTTATGTAGTAAATTACTTACATTAAAAACATTTAACATCTAATCAAGAATAATTTTTTCAAAAATATTACTAAGTGTTGGCAGTACAGAAATAGGTCTTAAATTAGCGGGGTCCAATGTGATATCAGATTTAAATAAAGGTATTACTTTACTATGCTTCCCTAAATCAGGACTGACTGGTTTCTTCTGATGATGTTAATGCTGTCAGCCTTTTGGCTGTCACTAGTTTTTTCAAGGCCCGCGGCCTCTCAGGCCTTTCAAGCCGCGATTAAATCAGGAAACACACCAGAAGCGATACTAGTATTAAATCAGGAGACACACCAGAAGCGATACTAGTATTAAATCAGGAAACACACCAGAAGCGATACTAGTATTAAATCAGGAAACACACCAGAAGCGATACTAGTATTAAATCAGGAAACACACCAGAAGCGATACTAGTATTAAAATAATAGATAGTTGAGGTGCCATTGTATCTATTATATACGCAATAACTCTAACGCAAATCCCCCACAGATTTGCGGTTTTCTTAATAGCAATAGTTTTAAAATATATAGGTACCGTTTTGATGAATAACTCGTAAAAGTTATTCACCATAAAAGTTCTATATTTATAAGAATGTATAATAATATTTTTATAGTGATTTAGCTCTCCCTCATTTTAGAGAGGCTTTTACTTAGCAGGGGACTATTATGGAAAAGAATATTATTGAGAATTTGGTAGCTCTATTTTCGATTTGTATTTTAAAGATTCTATTTGTTTGAAAGTTTGCATTTTTGTCTCTGATAGTGTATTCAAGCCTTGCTCCAGTCGTTCTCGTAAAGTTTCAAGTGTATGCCCAACCCTCGACTTAAAATAGATTTTTTAGTTCATTTTCGTGTAACATTTGTTATTTATTTTATCATCTTGACAGAGTATACCTGACGTAAAATTGCTGCCCATAATGACATGGCCAAATATTTGACCAAGTCGAAGCCCATTTGATTTCATACCATAGATTAGATCAGCGCGAAGTATTTAAAAATTTTAAACCAAGAACTCCATAAAAATATTTTATAGTTTCAATTTCAACATTTTCTAAATAAAAAATTAAATAAAATTATACATATAAATACGCTATATGTACAAAATTTTTGAGATAATAACAAAAAAAATGTATTCAAAATAATAAACAGTCTTACTAATGAAATCCCTTAATTAAATTATGGTAAAAATAAAAACAATATGTGAAATATAAAAAATATATAACTCAAAATAATAGTAAGTATCCAATTTACTAAACAGTTGCGCTTGTAAAAGTGATTCTGATTTGCTAAATAAACGTAATAAGCAGAGGTTGAGATAGTTAGCAACCTTCGCGTATAAACTGTTTGCCTGTCAATTATTGGTCAAACAGAAACGTCGAGAACTTTGTTACGTCTACGTTAAACGATAGTATGGTGATGGAAATGATAACAGTATTACGTCTTTGTAAATCATAATATCATTTATACATTGTGACAAAAACTACAGAGAAAAACCCAACTTCAGTAACTACGTGACACACACACTGTCACAGGTCATTATATTCTCTGCAATGTGGTTGCCTGGTAGAGATCGCTTCAAAGCGATAAGGCCACCAATTGTAATTTTAAGCTATCTGTTGTTTTTATCTCTTATGTTTTTTTTTAGTATAGGATAGGGTGACAAACGAGCACACAATCCACCTGATGGTAAGTAGTTACTGCAGCCCATAGACATCTACATCTATCCTCGATTACAAATCAAAATGCAGATACGTTGTCACCCGTGAGGGCTAAGATGGAATGCCTCGTTTCCAGTAAAAAGGGTCTCCGGTTCTCTACACTCACCATACGAAACACAGCGGCATTAAGCTACTATTTCACGCTGGTATTCATTATGTTTTTCTGATTTACATTAAAGTATTAAGTATCACTCATTTTTTATTCGTTATATAACGTGGATTTGCTTCGTACTTACTTTGTAAGCAAAGACATAAAATTATTAAAAGGAATCATAGACCGATATTTATTATCAATGTTTAATACATAAGCTGTAACATAAACCAAATTAGTTTTCTTTCAGATGATACAACCTTTAATAACAAACAAGTTTAATAATTTTATGTCTTTGCTCGTAAAAATAAACAGTAAATAACGTAAATTAAAATGTAATTTATTTCAGTTAATTTGAAATAAATACCTATTTGGCTAAACCGCAACTATAGAAGGAGGACTGGCGACCGCCAGATGTTTCTCACTTTTCATGCTGCTATTATATCACAAATTTGGCGTATTAAAATGGTATACAACCATTTATCGGAGTCTATGGGGTCATTTTGGCCTTTTCCGTAACACATCCTTAGGACACATCCGTACGTCTTTCACAGAATGAAGTAATAGGATATTTTTTACTCCACCCCTGCACGATGTTGTAAAAGAAATTTCTTACAAGAGGACAAGCTAAGCAGTTAACAGCCAAAAGTGTATATTACGCTTACATCATCATAATCATCTGAATATATACCAGTTATATATTCCTGTTTAAAGATCAATAAAAAATACGTAGATATACCATAAACAAGCTTTGTATAATGCATACAAAAAAGCAAAAGTTTTATAAAGGTCAGTTAAATTTAATGAATACTCTAGAACTTGTAAATAATTCAAGAAACGCAATCAGGAAATCGACTAGTAAGAGTGTTACAATTTTATTTTCTGGTAATAAAATTGATAATTTATATTTATATATCATAAATCTTTGCTAATAGAGGTTATTGTCTAATATAAATGTAGCGTATTAAAATCAACTTACCGTATCAAAGAATTCCGTGAATTTCGAGAAGTAATACCACCAACATCCGTTCACTGTCTATAAACAAATAAAAAAGTCATTATATTCTAATATAATATAACGTTTAAAAGCATTAGCACATTTCCAATTATCTATTTATGTCACGTGTTTTATTATTTTATTATAGCAGTGCTTATTACATCGTGATCAAAATATTTTCATAGTATATAACTTCAAAATTACCAATAACAGTAAATATACTTTAATATAATATCACAGCCTTGAATGTTAGTTAAGTACCTATTTTCTGTTATCAAGTGTTTCATTTTAGTAACCCTGAAAATTGCTATGAACTATAAAAATAATGAAGTATATAGCGGAAAGCATATATTTAATTTTGATAGGTCCGTCACTTGTTGTTAATGCGGACAAGATCTATTAATGTTAATAAAATACTGGTTGTGAATTTAAAAAATTATACGTTATTTAGGAGCAAAGATTACGTGAAGAAATTACTAATTTAGAAAGGTCTTGTTCTAATATTTAAATTCGAACTCTCCATTTCACTTTCTGTGGGGCCGTTTCTGGAAGAAAGAGTCCATCATAAGGAGTCCCTCTTTTTCCATGGAAGTCGGTCGGCTGCTGGCCCTAACCCCAATTTCCCTACCTTCAGCTCGCCGTTTGCTCTTGTGCCTAGTATTGCGCTGAAGTTTACCATTAACACTGCATAGTGAGTTTTGGTGGAATGCATGGCTCTAGAGACATCCCCATACTTTTCCTCCACCTCTTCATATGAATACAGTCTGTTAATTCTGAGTATAAGTTATGCCACCCTCATCGATACACTCCCAATCTTTACAACGTTGTTAACGAGACTTGTGGACGATAAATCACACCTACTTGGGAACGATCCTCCCGGTGATAGAACAAGTTGCCAGATTCGAGGATTACCGTGTCTTCCACCTCTCTTCGGACCTCAGATAATCCAAAAATATCCCAGCGCAACTTGCTTGTCTCTTCTTGCTGCTCCAAGATCTTCTCATCAGTTCTCAGGGTGCGTGCGTTATATGTTAGCAGGTCTTAGGTGGCAATCGAACTCTCCACCGGAGATTCTTAGCACCCTAGCCCCGTCGTCACTATGGTGTCACCGTAGTCAATAGTAAGTCTGCTGGGTACTGGGATCTGTCTCTTTGTAGCTCTCGCCATCGGGGGTTATATTGCAATAGTTGTCACGTATGGCGAGCTGATTTGCAACCGCTTTTTTATTGTTATTTTGCTGTTATCATAAAAATGCTGCTGCCCATCTCCTGCCTCAATTTCCCTCTGTCACCCCTTACAACACCCAAGGAGAGATATGGGGTAGTAGGTATTCTTACCCGCCACTACATGGAATACAGTATATCACTGTAAAATTAATTAAACGTTTCTAGGATTAAGGCTAAAGTACTATCGAGAAATAATCGGCCTTAGTTGTCCAGGCGCTGGACAGTTACTTTATATTTTACAGTGTGTACGTACTTATTCGAAATTAGGTATTCGCCATCTGACATTGGAATTGTTTGTAGTAGTCTCAAGTGTTCATTTAATACGTCATTAGTTTCAGATATGGAAACTTGCTCGTAAGAAAATTAAAATATTGGTAAGATATATATGACCTTTATAGTCGTGAGGTAATAGACTCCATGACGTGGGTGTTATAAGAGGCATATATGGTTAAAAATGTATTTGGTCTTGCATTTTTGCAAGACCAAGACCAAGACTGACCGTGCAAGATTTGAGTAAGAACAAGACTAAGTCTGCGAGACTCTTGCGTCTTGCAGTTAGGAATGAGTGTCGTTTCAGGGAGTATAGGAGTTCGAGTATACGCTTAGGGACTCTATGAGACGCAAAAAATATATAAAAAAATTTGGAAAATTGAACTTATGCGCATTATGAACAATACCACAAACATACATAGCGGATGAAAATATCCATTAAAAGAAAAAACAGTGCATCCCTAGTTTTGACCATCGGCACTATGATATTGCGCGGCGTCTTGTTGTCGGCATCATCAAAGGTCGAATACTGACCTGTCAAAGAAATTTTTGCAGCTATTCGGAAGTACAAGGTCAAGATACACGCGCCAGCGGCTACTATTGATATTGCATTCAAACGTCGCCGCCGCGCCGCACGCACTATATTTGACACTGTTTGAATGCCGCCACAGAGTACATGTTCCAAAGAATAAAATAAGTTTCCGGGTGCTCAGAATGGACACGAATACATTATGCTAATCTCGCAAGGAATATTGTAATTAGATAATGGTAAGGATAGGTAGATACCATAATAATTTATTCTAGTAAGTAATTATTATAATATTAACTATATGGGTTTATAATAATTACTTACTATTATTATTATTACCTAATAGATAAACATGTTCAATAAGTTCACTGCGAATCTCGATTTTTGGAAGTGTGTGTTTTTGAACACAAAGTGTTCAAATATGTCGTCACCCATTTGATAAATATTGTAGACACTTTTAACAAACTTGAAACGTGTAAACATTTTGTACAATGCTAATTGAATAATATAAAAAAGGTACTTTTTAGGAGCCCGAGTATCTCTTAGAGAACCGTTTAAAGAAATTAATTGCATCAAATTGATGTAAATAATAGTGATTTGCACAATTTTAATAGTGGAAATAAAAATAAAATCACAATACCTGCTTTCCGGTCACACAAAGTATATAATGCGTTCTTGGGTAGCGATATACGCTTTTATAATAAGATTCCAAAAGAAATGTTAGATCTTTCACCTTTTCAATTTAAGTCAGACAAAAATGCTTGGAACTGACCTCTCGTACTACACAGGACAACTAGAAATTTCTAAACCGATTTGGTATCTACATATACATTTGACATTTTATGTTTGACTTATCGCTTTACATAATTATAGAACTATTGCAAAAATTTTTTGAAAAGAGCAACTACTGAGTTTCTTACTTTCTTCCATGATTCTTCTCAGTAGAATTAGAACCCCTGGACATGGAAAAGAAAAAAATGGGGAAAACAGTGATTATATGACTATTCAAAAGTGTATTTTTAATGCCTACTTGAATAAAACATATTTGAATTTTGAATTTCAAACGAGTGAAGGCAAATTTAATTTAATTAACGTAGATTAATTCAATCATAAGAAGAACATAATATACACAATTTTATTTACATATTTACATTTCATTTTTACGTAGGCACACTATACCTATCTGGCAACGCATCTACTTTGTTAATCTTCTGAAGAATCATTAATTTTATCAAAGGATGCCGAACTTTCCTTTGTCGGTCTTTCGGCGTGTACTTACAAATAGTAGTATTTATTTTAATTCCAGTCATTCCCAATTGAGCTTTGCTTCGAGTCTAATGTATTAATTGTTTTTACTCTAATCCTTGTTGTTCTCGGAGTGATAAGTTTACAATTTGACATGAGTGACGAAAAGTCGAATAGTTCTAGTCGGAGTAGTGAGAGTTGGAGTTATAGATCTAAAAGACCTAAAAGTAAATTTGATGAGTTTTTCGACATAATTCATACATCCCAAATTGCTTTGTGTAAATTATGTCAACATAAAAAGGTTGAAATAAAAATGAAAAACAGAAACACTTCAGGCTTAAGGAAGCATCTAATATCTTTCCACAAAAAGGAATCACAAATATTTCTTCCTGAAAAACCAAAATTAAGTGGAGATATCACAAGCTTTTAATAACCATCGGAAAAAGTGGACAGGTAAGAAAAATATACTTATCACACAATTATATAACACATATATTATGTAACTAGCGGCCGCCTGCGACTTCGTCCGCGTACAATATCTGATTTCCTATGAGATTTTGAAATTTTCTCGCTGCAAAAGTCTTACCTAAGTATAAATAGGCTATATAGGTAAAGCTTAAATATGCAAGTATTTATTATTTAAAACTAATAAAGTAAATGTCGATCTTCATATCTATACTTTAAAAATATAGGACTTGCATGTTATGTAATGTATATGTAAAATGGTTTACCACAATTTCACCCCCTTAGGGTTAGGATTTCGTAAAACAGCTTATTCAGGATTTTATTATTGAAAACTTATAACTTTAATGCTGATTTTCGTGTCTCTAACTTCAAAAACGTAGGACTTTCATACAAACTTCCAACTCCCATTTCACTCCCTTAGGGATAGATTTTCTCAAAACCGTTTCTTAACTGATCTCTATGCCATAAAAGGAACCTATCTTACAAACTTCAAGTTTGTATGTTTTATAGTTCCTGAGATATCGTTATAGTCAGTCAGTGAGTGGTAGTTATATATATATATATATATATATATATATATATATATATATATATATATATATATATATATATTATAGTTTTATATATGTATTTATAATTCACTCATATATTCATTTATTTTTATAATCGGCGAGACACATGATTTACTGTTCTATTTCAGTCTGAAAATAGCAGTGACAACATCACGACAGCTACACTTGATTGGATGGTTAAAAAATATCTTCCCTTCTCATTTTTCGATGACGAAGCTACACAAGTAAATTTTCGATCAATTTGCCCAAATATGGTGTTTCCTAAAAGGCCCACACTTAGAAGGAAGGTCAAAGAACGGTTTGAAGAGCTTCAATTGAATCTTAAGAAACGACTACAACAATTTTCATCTAAAATGTCATTTACCATTGATGGATAGACGTTAATTGCTGGTAGGAGTTATTACGGGGTCACTATTCATTATATAGACAACGAATGGAAGTATCGATCTGTAGTCCTTGATTTTATACCATCACGCGGTCGACATACTGGGGAAGATATTGCAACGATTTTCCACGAATGTTTATTAGAATATGACATAATTGATAAAATACAGGGTATCACGGTCGACAACGCAACTGTAAATACCAAAATTTATGTATGAATTGTACAAACAATGCCACACTTTGATTCAGACAATCAACATTTCCGGTACTTTGCTCACATTTTGAACCTTGGTGTACAAGATTTATTAAAGACCTTAGCATTACACAGTGAAACTAACAATAAGGGAC